ATGCGCATGACAGCCATGATTTTCATCGAATGCAGCACGTATGCTACAGCATACATCTTTGATATCAGCTGTGAGCTGTTGATCTGTGTTTCTCTTCTAGCCGCATGCCTGTTGCCCAGTCTTTGCCGACTACGAACCATGAGACCCTCATCTGGCCTTGTCCGAGTTGTACCCTAAAAACCCAAACCCTAAAAACCCTAAAAGCCCTAAACCCTAAGGCCCTAAAAACCCGAAAGCCCGAAAGCCCTAAAACCTGGACTTAGACCCCGAGCACCGAAGGAGTGCTGGGAGCATCGGCATCCTGCAGGCTCTAATTATGCAACCCATGTCATAGGTAGTTGTCAAAATTATGGTCCCATTTGGGGTACCCTAAATAATAGGTGCCGTATTATAATAAGGACCCAAAAAGGGACCATGATTTTGACAACCACCCATGTGAGGGTTCAGGAAGGGCGCAGGGCCTTGTCCAGGCGTCCACATAGGATACTGTAAGCGATGCTGTCAGGGATACAGCATTCCTTATCCATACGGCATTGCTGCATGGGTTATATGGTTGGGGTCTTAGGGTTTGGAGTTTATAAGGAGCTGTTCTTCATCGAGAGGCGCGGGCTTTGTGGATTTGGGATTTGACCCTGGTGTTTTAAACGCAATTTCAGCGTCCCTGACCGTCGTCTCGATGGACTTCTAGAGTCCATGCTCAAACTTCGAGAAGTTTGTTATGGCTGGGTTCATAGCAATTGTGCATCCGTTATCATTGTTTTTCCTTCTTTGCCACCCCTGCTTCACAGAGCATGTTTGCACTCAGCCTAAACTCCAAGCCTATAACTTCTACAAGCCTGTCCGAAATTCCCCGAGGTCAAGACTGCAAGACACTAGATTGCTTGCTTTCTGAAGCTCCTTTCAGAACCCTAAACCCTAAACCCTAAACCCTAAACCCTAAACCCTAAACAGAGGTCGACCGGGGCGATCCAGCCTGCCATCGCGACGCAGAGCACAGGAAGCGGCAGGAGGTTGCCGGGACTTTGGGGCGCAGCTTGGGACTGGGTGTTCGTTTGGAGTTTATTTGCATTTTGGTGAAGAGTAAACCCCAAGGGGTGGTTAGAATTGAGATGTGTAGTCTTCTGTAATCTGCAGTGGTGCAGTCACCGTGCCCTAAAACCTAAACCGTAAACCCTAGACCCTCAGGCTTCTGTAGATTGTTTCACCTTGCCAACCTACGACCACAAGCCTCGCCTGCATTTGTCCGAGTGTGAGAGCCGAAACTCCTAAACCTCTCCAAGCGTTTGGGCTTAGGGGCCGTAAGTCTTGATTCATGTGCCGCCTTGCAAGTTTATACCCGAGACATTATGCCGGATAGGAAGCGAGCGTGTGCTGTTTGAGCCACCTTTCGGAAGCGAAATCTGTGGTGCCATACAGATATTCTTGCTGATGCTCGTGCTAAATTACGATTTAATGCTCGTGCTATTACGATTTATAGCAGCATGCTTCTCACCGTGAGTATTGCAATGACTGTGATGATGGCGAAGGTGATGATGAAGATGATGCTGATGATGACGACGATGAGGACAAAGATCGGAAGATCATGAAGATGACGGGGACGGTGGTGGCGGCGGTGGTGGTGGTGACGACAGTGACGGTGTTCAGTACCATCACGACATCCTGTCATCCTCAGAATCCGCGATAGCATAGCCATCAGCATTACCACAGCCATCACCGCAAAACAGCACCACCAATGCCAGCAGAGCAGCATAACCACTGCTATGCTTGTGGTGATTCCCACCTCCACCGTCCTCTTCACCATCGTCGCCTCGATCATTCATCATCAACAACAGCGCTGTCACCACTGCTCCGAGCTGGGTTTTCTTATCGCCACAGCTTGCATACTAGAATCCCGTACATGATCTAGGACCTTCCTGCATGCATCCCTGTTTTGAAACCCTAATGCTTGCGCACACACCCAATGTCGGCTGTTTTCGCGTACATGCATCGGACGGTCGTACAAAATGTCGTGGTGACAGTGTGGCTCCAATATTAAGAGGCGCCGTATGTCATCGCCATCATAAGTGTAGCTGAGCGCGAGAAGAGGCATGTTATACCACGAGAGATGCCTTCACGTCGTCCTTAAACAAAGCTGCTTGGCACTAGGCAGCCGTACCGGCAGAACAGACATTCTCGCTTGAATGTTTGCGATCTTCGTGCACTTGATAGTTGAGACGAGAAAATCGACAGTGTGATGCTTTCGTCAAGCCAGCGAGAATGCTTGGAGCTGTGCCTCCACGCAGGCCGTGCATGTGGCAGGGGCCGGGCACGGGACGGCCCTGAGGTGGGGCGGGTGCCCGGTAGATTTCTGAACTTAAAGGTACAATACCCTAGTTGAACATTTCAGAAAAATACATTGAGGATTATGGGCAGCGAATCTCGCGACAGCACAGTGAGTGACTCATCAATCAGAGGTTGCGCCTGTCAGTCTCATACTTGCTGAGCTCTTGTCGAATCCTCGACCTGCACTCCGACGTTGGCCTACGAGGGGAGGTTTCAGCACTTCTGTTGCCCTCGGCTGCTCAGTATCCCAGATCCTCCTGGTCCGAAGGCACTTAGGGTTCAGGGTTTAGGGTGTAGCTCCTAAATCTTAACCCTAAGCCCTGAACCCCTGAACCCTCTTCTTTCAAGAGCCCGAATCTTCCCCCCCCGATTCCCGTTCCTGTTGCAGGCGGCATGGGCAAGGCCCTCCGCACAGCCAGCTGGCTGATCTCCTGCAGAGCCCTAGCTTCAAGCAGCCGTCTTGCTCTTGAAGTCTTAGAGTCAAAGTAGAATTTTCCTCGCCCGATATCGTTCATAGCCTTAACTTATGGTGACAGTTGTTGGCATCGAACGGATGTAAAAGTTGCATCCAGTGGTTGCAACGGTTCTCTGCGATGTGCAGAACCTCTGGGAGCGGCAAAGTCGGGCAGAAGTATAGAGCCCTTATCGTAGCCCTGGTCGTAACCCTCGTAGAATCCTTTAAAGTTTACAAATTTTGAGGAGCCCATCAAAAGGTGGCTTCGGGTTCAGGGCTCAGGGTTTAGGGGATATTTGAAACTGGAGAAGCTGGAGAAATCGAAGGCACAAAAGCGTGAGCCTGAACATGCGCCCATTTGCACCTCTGATGCCATCAATCGTGAAGGGCGGTGTGGGTACTGATCGAGCGCACGTGAACGGAGCAATCAATGCAAACAACCCTACACCCCAAAGCCCAAAACCCAAAAACGCCGCGAGCCACCTCAATACAAGGATCCGAAAACCCTAAACCCCTAAACCCCTAAACCCTGAACAGGCATCCCCTCGTCAATGTGTCACGACTACTACTGCACCTATGAACCCTCGCCTGGCTTGTCCGAGTTGTGAGAGTGTAAACCCTAAACATGGACAAGGATGGATTCTGGGGTATAATTATACTCTAATAAAAATAAGGACCCCAAAAATAGTCTTGGTAATTATTGAGGCCCCTATATTATAATATTCCTTGCCCCGAACCACCCTAAACCCTAAACCCTAAACCCTAAGTGCTGAGTTGCTTCTGCCAGGAGCGCCTCTCCGGTGGTGTCTGCGGTCGGTTCCGATTTATTCCTGGCCCTGAGCCCAGAGACGGCAGATTATTGAAGGGTCTGTGGGGATTTAATATATTACCAGTGTAATGTAAGGATATACAAATAAATATGTGTGTGTATATATATATATATATATTATACATATGTAATGAACTACGTGGTTCTTATGCTTTAGTTGGCATACTGCAGGAGTTTGAGTACGTCGTCCTGTTCCACCATGTGGCAGTATGTTTTGGAAGTTTTTGCTTCTTGTGCGGATCAGAGGCTCGCAGTAGCATCTTGAAGCCACGAGATGCAAACAAGCGCTGCTCAAGATAGACTGGCAATCAAGAGCATTGGTACGAGTGCTGCGAAACACGGCTGATGCAAAAGACATCGAATATCCATTAATCCGACTTATGATTCGCATGCCAACGGTATGGCTGTTTGTGTTGCATGATATCGGTAACAGCTACAGTGGGTGACGATAGTTCTGGCAAGCGACAGCAGGCTACATTTGTATCACGACGGTGCTGCCGACAGCGGCCATAATGCCAAGGATAACTCGTATCGTGATGGCAGCCACGTCACTTGTAAAACACGAGTGGGTAAGACAAGCAGGAGTTGCAAGAATAAAGTTATGTCATGGGTGTCGAAGAAGATGTTGCGGCAGCTCTGAACGACAGGCCTGCTCCGTCCTGGTCGGCGCCGTGATCTGTGCTTTGCTGACCCGTACAGGCCCCGGCTGTGAGGCAGCTCTTGCTTTTTCATCAATGTGCTCTCGTGTAGGGGATGTTAATATAGCGGCCTAAACAATTACCACTACTATTTTGGGGGTTCCTTATTGTAACTATAGTATAACATACCGAAAAATACCCCAAAACCTTGTTCTGCCCATGAAAGCCCCTACATTATGGTCATCTGGTGCAGGAGTCTTTTAAGAATCAAGGTTCTTCATGCAACAGGCCCAAGGACCGGGGGCTCCTTCCGGGCCGGAGGCTTCAAAAAGGGCCTGCAGCGAGGTGTGAGCCTAGTGCTCTCCTTCACAGGTCCTGGAAGTAAGATGCAAGGCCAACCACAAAGCCCTCTGCGGGTGCTTGTGTGTGTATGTATGTGTATGAGCGTGCTTGCAGTTGAAACTGGGAGTTATGTAGCATGTTCGAAAATCGGCAGTGCGTTCCGGTGTTCTTGACGTCGCTGTTTCTGGCTCTGAAGAAACTTAGAGGAAGACTCCGGAACGCGGACTCCAGAGGTCCGCCAGTGTTGAGACAATCCCCTTGCAGTCCGGTTTTAAGTGTGTGCCATGTCTTTGCGAAGTTGCAATGCTTGCACCAGGAAATGGGACTAGTGTGGACAAGTCTTTGCATCCACCTCCTGGAGGGGCCTTGCTTGGCCAATGTATACGGCTTGCAAAGTGCAAGGCGCTAAACTTGGATGGAGAGTGTCTACCACTTTGATAGTGGGCTGCATCTGTGGCAGGTCCAGCAAACAGGGACGGACCTTGCAGGCCATGGCCCCTGTGCCAGCGGAAGTGCAGCTTTGATGGAGGGGAACAGCTACATGTTTGTTGAGATCATAAGACACAACGATAGCGTCCACTTTGTGGAAGAGCTCCAGTACACAGAGGGCCTTGATTGGAGGAGCCCAGGTGTGCAGATTCTTGCACTGCTGACCACGGGTCATATCTATGGTGGCTATCGCGAAGCGCTGCGCGAGGTGAGCAAGGTCCATGAGACCGCAGGATTGGTGTTAGAGGCCGGCTTTGTGTGGGTTTATGTGGACGGTCAGATGGTGTACTGCCGAAAGGATTCCTCTCCTGTGAAGCCGCGTCTTCTAGCACGTGTCCATGGCTTTGGACATCTTCGTTTGATTCGGCCGCCTCCTTTGTCGCCCTGTGCACTCGGCTGGTGTGGCGTTGCGAATGGACATATCACGCTGTGTTGGGGAGGCCAGGAGGAGCCACGACCTTCGCCGGAGCTCTTCCAAGGACCCGCTCTTCGTTTTGAGGTCGCCAGACGCTGGGCTGGGGGTGGCGGCTACGATCTCATCGGTTCGCGTCAGGTGGAGGATTGCGTGGACCAGAGGCGTTTTCCCAAGCGAAACGATGGAGGACATCCCGGCTCTTCGCTTTGGTGGCATTGCACCGGTGGGGACCTTGAAGAGTTCATCGGTAAAGAGTTGCCGGGACTATTCGACGGGAGCACTCTGCTTCCATTCTAAGCCCACAGGGACAAGGACCGAAGTTTATGTCACGTGAGAACTGTGTGCATGCGGTCCTCGTTGAAGTTTTGCAGCTAGACCGGTCCAGCGGCAAGCGGGATTGTGCCAACGGCCTGCAGACTTGCGCGGAACACAGCTTCGTAAAAAGAAACGCGGCTTTAAGAAAGATGGCACGCCAGCTGCGCGTTTGGCTTGTTTCGCAAACGCACGCATCTGCAACTAGAGAGTCCTCGTGAGATGGATGGCCTTCAGCCTTTTGCTTTGAGATGAGTTGAGGACGACGAGGATGATCATAGTACGTACCAGTACTCATCTTATTGATCTTGCACGCTTTTGCTGGCATACAGCTCAAACTCCCCTGATTCTTTCGTCATCATCCTGAGTGACACGTTCAACAGTGCAGGAGGCAACACGACTAAGCCCTAAACCCGGAATTAGCCCTAAACCCTAAACCCTGAGTCTTTCTTTATCATGTCTAGGCTTCTCAGCTGTGGAGCTCCGAGGTGGCCCATCGTCCAAGTTTCGGTCGTTACAGCTCCGGCCTTGGATCTGCTATAAGGGTCTGAAGACATAGTTAAACAGCACTGTGAAATCTTTCCGTGTAGTCCCTACATTTTTTTAAAAAATACACCACCAAAACCTATTTTTAGTATTCAGGCCCCGGTATCAGCGTCTGGACCCCAGGCCCCCTTGGACTCTCAAGCGTCCTGGACAAAAAGCCCCGAAGCCCGAGCGCAGGTTCCGAGTTGAGGCTCCGACGCGCAGGGAGTTAGCAGTTGAGTTTAGGGCTTAGGGTTTCGGGACAAGGCGGGCATGTAGAAGTCTGGACACAAAGGGGATTTTAGGGCGTAGGCCTTCATGGTTTGAGGGCTCTGTTTGGTCTTTAGAGCCTCCAGGGTTTTGCAAAGAAGGCTGAGGTCCTCAGAAGCGAGGGTGTAGAGATGCAACTCTTTAGGGTTTCGGGTTGTCTAGACCAGATCATGAATACTCCTTCTCCCCCCACCATTCCAATTATGCTATACCATGCCGCAGCACCTTATTCTACTCATTGAGGCCCCTAAACCTTAAAACCTAAACCTTAGTCCCTGGACCTATCCCTTTTGGTCGAGGGGTGATGCCTTCAGCATCAGGCATCTCCCCACACGCCAAGGGGACACTGTTCGAGTATTTGCAGC